CCTGTGACTCTTGTTGACTATTCTCATCACTGCTCCATCTTTTGTCCTTAGCAAACTGTGAACCTCATTGTCTACACCAAGTTTCTTCCCTTATTATTGTGGACAGCTCTGTTCATTTGTCTATTTTCATCAGCGTTGGAGGTACCCTTTTCTCCATGGAACAGGCTTCATATTTCTTTCTTTCTTTCTTTTTCTTTTTTTTTTTTTTTAAGACAGAGTTTTGCTCTTGTTTCCCAGGCTGGAGTACAATGGCGCAATCTTGGCTCACCACAACCTCCGCCTCCTGGGTTCAAGTGATTCTCCTGTCTCAGTCTCCCAAGTAGCTGGGATGACAGGCACATGCCACCACACCCAGCTAATCTGTATTTTTAGTAGAGACGGGGTTTCATCATATTGGTCAGGCTGGTGTTGAACTCCTGACTTCAGGTGACCCACCCACCTTGGTCTCCAAAAGTGCTGGGATTGCTGGCTTGAGCCATGGTGCCCAGCCTCCCAAATTTCATCAGTGGGCTAGAAAACCCACCTCCTCTATGGCCTGCACTTTTAAATATGCTAATTCTCTGCAATCGTCACTAAAGAATATGAACTTTTGTCATTGTACATATGGCTATAAAACCTCTGTTTAGTTTACTCATGTATTTTGTCCATTATCTGTGTGATCTAGCAGTATGTGATCCAAATAATAGTCGATCATAGATTGTACACTCTCAGAGGGTGCAATGTTGTATTTTTTTAATGTGCCTAGGGCAGCTCCTGGCTGGCAAAGGTATTTCAAAATGATTGCTAAATGGTGCCTTTAGAAAAGGCCATGAACTTAAAAACCCATCTTTGACTTCTCACTGTTATGCTAATGACAGAACCAGATAGAAAGAAAGTATGAGTAGCTCTGATCTTAGTTAAGCCTCATTCCTGATTAGCAGTGTGACCTTGTGCTAATTATCTAACCTCTCTAAACTCACTTTTAGAAGGAAAATGTAGATAATAATAGTACCTAACTCATAGTATTGTTGTGAGGATTAAGTGAGATAACACATGTAAAGTGCCTAGAAAAATTCATAGCTATCACTTTTGTAGTTGTTTTCATTACTTAAGATAAAAGACAAGCTGGGTGCGGTGGTTCATGTCTGTTATCCCAACACTTTGGGAGGCTGAGGCGGGCAGATCACTTGAGGTCAGGAGTTCGAGACCAGCATGGCCAACATGGTGAAACCCCGTCTCTACTAAAAATACAAAACTTAGCCGGGCATGGTGGTGGGTGCCTGTAATCCCAGCTACTTGGGAGGCTGAAGCAGGAGAATCGCTTGAACCCGGGAGGCAGAGGTTGCAGTGAGCCAAGATAGCACCACTGCACTCCAGCCTGGGTGACAAAGCGAGACTCTGTCTCAAAAAAAAAAAAAAGATAAAAGACAGCTGAGTAATAAATGAATAAACCAGTAGCTTCTCAGTATAGCTGTTGAATTAAATGGGATCTGTGAGGTCTCTAATATCAGCAGAAGCCTGAACCTTTCAGTCAATTCAGTTGGGTGGCTATTATCCTGAGCCATCCCCTTTTTCTGTCCTGTCTCCCTTTCCTAGGACGGAAAATATTCACGAAAGTGATAAAAATGAATGGCTGTTTTGTAGGAGGGGAGGGAAAGAGCAAGAAAGTTGCTACCTCAGGCTCCTTGGTTCTGCTTTGGTTTATAACAGCCCAGTTGGCTGAAGTGGGACAAGGGTTCCCAGCATAGCATCTCCCCTTAAGCTGCCAAAGAGTATTGATTGCTAAAAGGCAATCAATTTTTGTTTGGTTTGTGGGAGGGAACACAGTCTGCAAGGTCACTGAAATTTTATTGTCGGAATGTTTCAAACCAATGTCAATGTGGAGGCAGAGTTCACAAAGAACACAACATTGAATCAAAGAGAAAACCAGACAGAGCAGCATCTTGAGTGCTTTTCTTCTGACCTTCTCTTTTTGGGCCTGACAACTCTTTGCATTTTAATAATTTACCTCTCAAGTCAAAGGCAGTGGTAGGCCTGCCGACGGAAGACTTCACTTAGTGTGTGGACTTTGAGAAATCATCTGAAAAGAGACACAGAGGACGGAGGCAGTGGGCCTTTAGCTGTTACTTCCTACAATCTGTTTTGCTTTTGTGAAAAGTTGGAGGGGCAGCTCTTTTGAGTCTTCATGCAGAACCGCCTGGATTTTCATGTGGTCTTGCAGGTAAGTGGGCAGAATGAGTTGGTGTTGTCATTCCTGGACATCTCAGCTTTGTCACTGCCGCCTCCTGGGGCTACTTGTGCTCTCAGTGTAGCAAAAAGAACACAGCGCAGAGAAAAAGCTGACCACAGTAAGAACAGCATAGGAATTTATAAACTGGATGGAGAATATTGCCCAATTTGACAAGGTGAAACCAGTTTCTTTCATAAAATCACATCATTGTAGAGAAACAGAAATGACAATGTCTTACTACTTTGTCAACACCAAACAAAACACCATTAGGCACTGTGCAAGTTTAATTCTGAAGACAGAGATGTTTCTCAGAGTAAGCCTGGGATCTTTTCACCCATTTGGTACGACACCATTTGTTCCTGAATGAAAGACTAGAGAACACAGTTTCTCTGAGTCTCTTTTTCTCTTCTCTGACCTTGATAATTTCACATCTCTGGGACTGTATGATGAAAAGTTCTACTTGCCCAAGCACAAGAAATGGCCTCTCAGCCTGTAGTCCTGGTAATGTTGGCTCACCTTACCCAGCTGAGGAGCCTCTGGTGTACAGGAAGATAGGGTGCCATACAGCTGAAGAAAAGGTACTAGTGAGATGCTTAATAAAATCCAGAGACAGTTCGTTGCTAGTGAAGTAACAGGGTTGTTTGAGTGATTTTGTCTAAAAGAAAATGGATCAAAGAGAACAATGTGACTCAATCTTCACCTCCTTGTTCAAATTCAGTAATTTGCAGTGTAAATTGAGTCAACTGGATCAGCAATTCCCACATCACGGTAATATACTGAACATTTTACTGAACACTTTCTGAGTTTTTACTATGTTCCGGGAACTGTTCTAAACAACTTACAGGTAACATTTCATTTAATCCTCACAGTTTTCTGAGACACCTATTTGTATAATACCCATTTGACAGATTTAAAAAATGAGGCTCAGAGAGTCTCAAGCTGATCTCTGCAAGTTTACACAGCTAGTAAATGGCAAAGACAGAATTAACTTACTCTGTAGGTTTAAAATCCTAAAGCATAATTTGTTTCCTTCAATATTTACAGAAATTTTAATAATCTTTAATAATCATTGCAGAAGATGGATACTATTGTGTAAATAATTTCTTTTTTTTGTTGTTTGTTTTTTGTTTTTTGAGACAGAGTCTCGCTCTGTCACCCAGGCTGGAGTGCAGTGGCATGATCTTGGCTCACTGCAACTTCTGCCTCCTGGGTAAAGTGATTCTCGTGCCTCAGCCTCCCAAGTAGCTGGGATTACAGGCATATGCTACTACACCCGGCTAATTTTGTATTTTTAGTGGAGATGGGGTCTCACCAGGCTGGTCTGAAACTTCTGGCCTCAAGTGATCCTCCTACCTTGGCCTCCCAAAGTGCTGGGATTATATGTATGAGCCACTGCACCCGGCCTAAATAAAAGCAGTCTTTTAAAAAGAGAGTCATTTCTTTCATCAGCTCCACATAACCTTCTTAAAGGTGATCGTAATTCTTCTTTCTCCATCACACTTCCCTATCCAACATTTTCAACACCAGCCTGGGAAGGGAGGATTGGGCAGTGGAGAGGGGCTGGGGAGGGATGTATGGGGGGTAGGTAGGCAGTGTTCCAGATCCTTCTTCCAGGGCATTCTCCATCTAGTTTCTCCTGGGATAGTGAGAGCCTGCAATCCAGGCTCAAGAGTGGGCAAAATGAATCATATGCTCTGAGGAGGGGAGAACCTCTCTTCACCATACCCTTCCCCTACTCCAGCACACACAGGCATAGAAAAGTCAAGCGTCGTTGGTGAGCAGGGTTTTTCTTTTTTTCTTTTTCTGAATTGAGACGGAGTTTCACTCTTGGTGCCCAGGCTGGAGTACAATGGTGTGATCTTGGCTCACTGCAACCTCTGCCTCCTGGGTTCAAGAGATTCTCCCAAGTAGCTGGGATTACAGTCACCCGCCACCACGCCTGGCTAGTTTTTTGTATTTTTAGTAGAGACGGGGTTTCACTAGGTTGACCAGACTGTTCTCGAACTCCTGACCTTAGGTGATCCACCCGCCTCAGCTTCCCAAAATGCTAGAGTTACAGGCATGAACCACCGCACCCGGCTGAGCAGGGATTTTCTAAATGATGGTGCTAAACCTAGAGGATTGAGATAAATGAATAGAAAGCTTGGAAGACAAAAATATTCCATTCTTCTTGAAGTGGGGAAAAGGAGCAGGAAAAACAAAGTAGCTAGCATGCAATTGTGTTTCAAATGCATTATGGTAAATCTTCCCTGGTACTCAAGGCAGCTCACCCATACAAGGGAGAGGAAGTCCGAGGTTTGTTTTTATTCATATATTTTCAGCTTCACTGTAGATACTGTTGTGTATGGTAATTCCAAGGCAGAATGTGGAGTTTCTCTGGGTGGTTTAGTTGGCATTTATAACAGGACTTGGATTAAAAGTCTTTCTTCTCAAAAACTGGTTCAGTGATTGAGGCTGAAAGAAGCCCTGCTTTGAAACTCTCTCCTAAAAAACCTAAGACAATCACAGCAGCCTTACTTTCCGTATTGTCATGGGTCTGCTGTGAACCATCACAAGTTTAACCCACAGGACACTCTCAGAGGCCCCCGCTCCACCCAAGGTGGGAAGCCACACCAGTCCATGGACCACAGAAGACCCCTTGTGAGATTCCCAGCAAGTGTCAGTCTTAGAGATACTATTGTGCTTATAGGACCCCAGAGCAGAGTTTATGGGGTCTTGTGTTTGAAAGCAACGGTACATACACCATTTCCTTTCCTGTGACGCTCCTCTTTTCCTCATGCTCCCCTCATAGGTTAACTGAAAACCTGGTGCTTTTTGACTTCTAAAAGGCTGAAAGTGGAGGAGTAAATAAAATGATAAGGAGAAGAAAAGGCAGGTTGATCAGCTGAGTGGCCTCAATATCATCTCGTTATGAATTGCTGTAAGCAATGCTACTGAATTGTCAATTTTATCAGCCAAATGTAATTTTTGTGTGTCTGTGTGTGATAGAATAAATATTGCACATCTCAGCCAGCCTATGCCTTTCATTCTTCTCCTCAATTCCCAAATGACTTTGAAGAAGGGAAATCAATAAATCAATTGGTACTTTGTCCAATACCCATTTCAATGACATCACAGCACCATTTGCTAAAGATTGGACATTAGTTACGGAAAAAGACTGAGACACTTTCATTTGATAATGTATCTCTGCCTTTGTGAACAAGAATATGAAAAGGAATAGTGAATTGACCTTGTAAATAGTAATTCTTGTGTGCATCCTATCAAAAAACAAAAAGGGGATAATTATAGAAAGGAGGATAAAATATCATTTATATCCCAGGATGTATGATAAAGTCAGTGGGTGGTATATTTTGGGCTTATCCTTTAATATTTCATTCAAAAAAATTTCCCTACTTTTGCCAAATCAATTTTTTATTAGATTTTTTTCAAATCTTATTTTAGAAATTCCTGCCCGTTGGTTCTTAAAAATGACACCAAAATGTAACACTTAAAAATCTATAAACAAACACTTAAATTAAAGACTAAGTTAGGTCTGGTTTTTGGAGAAAAAATACACAACTTGGAAGAATGCTTTTATAATACCAACAATCCCACCTTTTTCATTATTTTGTTTGTATATTCGTTCATTTATCCACATATTTGCATATAGCCAATATTCTTTGTTTTGCTTGGAGACAGGATCTCACTCTATCCCCTAGACTGGAGTGCAGTGGCACAATCTAATTGCAACCTCCCTCTTCAAGCGATTCTTCTGCCACAACCTCCTGAGTAGCTGGGATTGCAGGTGCCCCACACCACGCCTGGTTAATTTTTGTATTTTTGGCAGAGACAGAGATGGGGTTTCACCATGTTGGCCAGCTTGTCTTGAACTCCTGGCCTCAAGTGATCCACCTGCCTTGGCCTCCCAAAGTGCAGGGATTATAGGCGTAAGCCACTGTGCCCAGTCTCATATATCCAACATTATTCAACAGGGATAAAACAATAAAACTGGCCAGGTCTGGTGGCTCATGCCTCTAATCCCAGCACTTTGGGAGGCCAAGATGGGTGGATCACCTGAGGCAGGAGTTTGAGACCAGCCTGGCCAATATGGTGAAACTCCATCTCTACTAAAAATACAAAAAGTAGCTGGGCGTGGTGGCAGGCATCTGCAGTCCCAGCTACTTGGGAGGCTGAGGCAGGAGAATCGCTTGAACCCAGGAGGCAGAGGTTGCAGTGAGCCAAGATAGCACCACTGCACTCCAGCCTGGTTGACAGAGTGACACTCCATCTCAAACAAAAACAAAAACACACAAAAAAGCAATGAAACTATATTTTTCCAGTCTTTCCCCTAGATATGTCAATGTTATATGTAACGTCATTTCTAAGATTCAGCCTCCCTTGGAAGCAACTGTTACACTCTTTTAAAGATCTTCCAGATTTTGCTATTATTACAATAGTGTTAAAGGAGTATGCCTAAGAACGCCAAAATATGTGGGAACATAATCACAATGATAATGAGTGCTCTGTAGTCAAACTTACTGGACTGAGAGTAAGAAGAGGAGAGTTCCAGTCTCAGCTCAGTGCATGGGGCCTTTCTCACCTGGAGTATGATTCTTTGCCTCTACTTAGTTCAAGCTCCTCACCAGTAAACTTTAGGTTTCCTTCCAAGTTTGAAATTCTTTGTTTTTATGATTCTCTTTCAAGAGGCCTTGATGACTTGGCATTAGGAGAGTTGTTATGAGCTGTGGGTTCCCAGCAAAAGATGGATTTGTGTATAAGGAGAGACTTCAGTCTTTTATCTGTGGGAGTATTGACCAGGAAGTCTCTGGCCGTTCAGCACAGGTGTACTGCCACACTGGGTGCAGCGGACTGGTCTGCAGATTCACAGTCTAACTGCTTTCTCTTTGACCTTGGCTTCGTCTTGTTCTCTAAACATTAGTCATACCTTAAAATGGAAGCCTTTAAACCCTTACTTAAGTCTATGGAGTCAGAATAAGAGAGACTCTTTTGATGACATTACTGCAGCAAAACCGGCAAGTGTCATCTGAGCTCCTATTTTGTGCTGGGATCACCTAAAACTCTTGGAAATAAGTGACTTGGAAAATACAGTGAGAAGGGATTATGTCACCTAAAATATTAAAAGGGCTTAAAATTTGTGGAACTGAGACTAGTTCTAAACTACTGCTATACACATACATACACACATGTACATATTTATATACGGCATATACATATATATGGGCAAACACATGTAATGGATATATTATATATGGATATGGGCAAAGGAGGTGATCTCACCTACAAATTTTTCAACAATATTTAGACCTGGAGAATATAATTAGTTCTCCCCCATCTTCTTTGCTCTGCAACAACAGGGAATTAGGAGGGAGCTTGGCCTTGTGTTCCCTTCTCTGCTCATGGCGCCTTATCTGGAGGGCAGGTGAGGAGTCCTCCCGAGCTCTGCTGGGAGTCCCGGCCGCTGGCAGCAGGGCCCACCCGAGGCCAGAACACAAGTCGGCCTGGCGCCCGCGGCGGCTCCCCCTACCGGGAGTCCGGAGCAGCGCCGATGGCTTGGTCCCGGGTGGCACAACCGCTTCCCAGCCGCCCGCTCCACGGAGGCTCTGCGGGAGGCATCAGCAAGCTGCCGCCCGCCTGGCCTGACCGCGCAGAGCGGAAGCGCTCCGCGCGGGTAACAAGCATTTTCCAGCACAAGCAATTAGTTGCGAATAAACATCTGAAACGCCGGTTCTGTAAACCGAGTGCCCACCGCACTCCTCTAAACGGGCGGGGCCGTGGGGGTGGTAGGGGTGAGAATGGTGGGAAAGATGCTGGGCCTGGGAAGGAGCCAGGGGTAGGGGTGGGGGCAGGGAGGCGCCCCACCAAGAGCTCCCCGAGTTCAGAGGCACTTAGGTTACCAGTGGATCAGGGCTGATCTCAGGAGAGGTAAACGACCATACTTGGAACACGGAGCCCTTCTTCCCTGCCCGGTATCTGCGCGTGCTTTGGGTAGTTCGCACAACCCACCCCAGCTCCGGATGCCCTGGGATACCCGGACCCGGGAGAGAGAGCGTCAGCGGGGCGCAGCCACTTTGCACTCGCCGATTCTGACACAACAGATAGCTAATTGGGGCCTTCGAAATCAAGGACTAAGGTGAGCAGAGGATTCCCCCAGCCCCTGGCTCTGGCCTTTGGGACCTCTCTCCCGCGTCTTGGGTCAGAGCAGCGTCCGCAGCAAAGTCCTTTGGGGTGAAAGACGCGGGTGCGAATTAGTTTCAAAGTGGAAGGTTGCTTACACGTGAGCGGGGTCGCCAGCTCTTTGAAGCGCGCACGGTGCGGAGGCTCCGGCAAGGATGCAATTCCGTGCGCGTGTTAGCGCAATGCGCACTTCGCTGGGCCCAAACAGTCATCAGTTCTGCCAAGAGGGTGCTGTCCGGGTACCCACTGATGAGGTGGGTAAGTCGGGAGCAGAATAATGGAGCGCGTTACGTGGGAAGCCAAATTTGCAAAGCTTAACCCAGTCCTCCTCGGGGGCACTTCCTGTAGAATAAGCCGTTGGTGTATAGCAGCCATACACTTAACAAAGATATGGGCATAAAAAATGATAGAAAATAATGGGGTGAAGGTTTGACCCGCCACCAGGCTTCTTGCCCTCGCCTGTTCCGCAGGCCGAGGTCAGTTTTGAATCAAGTGCCATACGCAGTGGGTGTCACCCCACCCTCTCCTGGCTCTGCTGAGGTCGTGGTCCCTCTGACCCAAGCAGAAACCCTCCAGCTTCGGAGCAGCTCGGGACCTCCGTGCCCCAAGTTGGCATCCCCAGACCAAGCTCCAGGGAGTCGGAGGTAAAGGAAGGCCGACGCTCAGAGCGTCCCCAGCGTCTCCCTGGGGATCCTCCGGCAGGGGCTGCGACCTGTGTGTGGAAGAGTCGTCTCAGCCCTTTCCAGTATGGGGCTCTCAGGCATCAAGATTCCACGGGAGACTGTGACGACCTTCTCCAGCTGCCCACACTTTCTTGCCCAACTGGGCTGAACCCGATCACAGAGACTGGTGTCTTCCCAGCCACACACTCTTGATTCCTAGCCGGGTGACCAGCCCGGTCTAGAGAGTGAAGGAAGCGGGTAAAGGGGAGAGGAGGAAGGGATTCGTTTCCTGCCTGCTTTCTTCTTATCTCCGCCTTCTCAGAAGTTGGGCTGTTACAAAGAAAAACTTTCTAAGCTACCTCCCCATTTTTGTGGAAGGTGTTGTACACATCTCCCCTCCCCGCAAATACACATACCTTTCTCTACCCCCTGCTCCTCCCACTTTCCGGGAAAGTGTAATAGGTGTGAACATCGACTAAGCCCAGTGTCTGCAGCACTGCAACAAGGTAATGTGGGAAGGGGTTTCGCTAATGTTTATTTCTGAAGTTGCTGATGTACTCGTGGTAAGGGAACTCGGCTTGTTGGCGAGTACGAAGCCAAGCCCGGGGCGCCTAGGCTGTGAACACCTCGCGCGAACTTGGTCCGGCCTCTAGGTCCCTGGCCTCGGGCCCTTAGGCTCTGCTGGGGGCCAGGATCAGGTTCCTGAGAAAACAGAAGAGTCAAACAAGTGATCTCGCTACTTTACCCTCCCTGCCCAACCTCCCCCCGCCCCCACCACCCCCCCCCCGCCCCCACCATCACGTTTCTTTTCTTCTTTTCTTCTTTTCTTTTTTGGTTGATGGTCTGTCTGTACTGGGCGGGTATCCCAGAGCTGAGGTGCAGGAGTAGTGAGTGATGCCAGGGCTGGCTCTCCTAAATTTAGGAACCGCCGGGGGGCGGAGGAGAGTCGAAGGGGCATCCACTTCTTTGGCGGGAGGATGCCGTTTACTTCCCGCAGACTACGGGCGGGAAGACCTCGGAGCTGAGGGCTTCTTGGGATGGCTCTTTGAGCAGGTAATTCTGCGGCGAAATCGAGAGCGGGTGACTGACACGCTCGGTGACGACGGCCAGGCGGGGCAGCACCCTTTCGGGTTATCAAGATGATTAACCTTCCGGCCTTGCCCGTAGTGGGATCTCCCCTCCTCCTTCACC